CGAGTGGCACAACTAGAAAACAGTCAATCAACGACGGAAAAAATCCGTCGGAAAACCTTGAAATTCCGTCGAAAATACACTTTGTAGGAATTTCGCGATATTTCGTCGGAAATTCCGTCGAAAAAGCCTATTCCGACGGATTATGTTCTGTCGGCGCTTTTGTTGAATTTAAGTGAAAATCCGTCGCAAGGTTCCGACGTAAATTTCCGTCGGAGTAAGATATGTTCCGACGGAAATTTCCGTCGGTGGGGGAGACGTTCCGACGGAATTGTCCGTCGAAAACGGTATATTCTGACGGAATATTTTCCGTCGGAAAAGTGAATAAAAAAAACAAAAAAAAAAAAACGGCACCACAGTCCCCACCCAGATCCACCCCCGCCACCAACCCACACCCACCCACCATGTCCCCAACCCATGCCAAGACACCCACCCCACCCAGACCCCACCCCACCCAGACACCCCACCCCACCCAGACCCAGACACCCACCTCACCCAGACCCCCAGACACCCCACCTCACCCAGACCCCCAGACACCCCACCTCACCTAGACCCAGACATCCACCCCACCCAGACCCCACCCCAACCCAGACACCCCACCCCACCCCATCCAGACCCCACCCCACCCAGACACCCCACCCCACCCAGACCATAACCACCAAATAACCCACCAAACCTCCCCCACGCCACCCACACCACCACAACCCCACCCCATAACCACCGACACCACCAAAACAGCCCACCCCACCACCACCGACACCACCACACCACCACCATTAACCCTAAAAATCGGAAAAAACCCCAAAAAATTCAAAAAATCAAAATTAAACAAGGAAAATTAATAGAAATGTATAAATATATAATTGTCTTATAAATTTTATAAATCAACATTACAATTACATATACAATTAACTAGATCTAAACATTTATTTTAAAAAAAAAACTAGATCTAAACACAAACCTAAATTACAAGATCTACAATTGATGTTTAGGTTGTTGTTGATGAAACCGAGTCAAGCCGCGAAGCCTCACACCACCAGCAGAGGCGGACACCTCACACCACCACACCACCAGCGAGGATCCGCGAAATGCCGCATCAAAATGAGGAACGAGAAATCGAGAAAGGGAAGGACCGAATGAGCAGTTTGAGAAGAGAGAGAAAGCGACCTATTTCTAGTAGTGTGGAGCAGGCGCTCCTAATATAGGAGCGGGCACTCCTCACAATATCTGCAAAAACTCACAAAAAGGTAGTGAGGGGCGCGGTTTAGGCGCGCTCTCTGCGCGGACGCGCCAAACTTGTGCGCGCTCCTTCATGGTCGCGATCGCGCAACCAGCAACACTCTAAATATCCAACAGGTTTACCATCTAACCTAGTAATGGGCACGTACTTCGAGGCTATAAATACAATAATTAGCCTTCATTAAACATATAAAGAATTAATTAATCATCTCACCAAGAGAAACCTAAACACACGTGCATACTAATTGCTAGACCAGACTTAGCATTAATTGCACACCTCGATCAATCCTCCCTTCCGAGAAACCAGATCACCCTTTTACTTTCCGCACCATTTACTCCTCATACACGTTCTAACTTGATCGTTGGAGGCGGAGCTCCCACCACCCGGATCGGAGTCTCCGTTGTTTTGTAGGTACAGGCGCACGGATCCAGTCCCGAAATTGTAACTCTCCCTCAGGATATCAATAAAACCCCGAAACAGAATCGATAATTATCTGAACAATCGAAAATTCTCAATTACTAAAATCGAATATTATTTCTTAATTTTTGATGATAAGTTTAATCTGAGATCATTAGAATCACTATCAAGTTTTTCGTTGTATTCATGAAATTCAAAAATTTTCAATAATTGATGAAACCTTAAGAATTGATGCAATTCAAAATTTTCAGAGCAGTAAATCGAAATTGAAAAGTTGAACAAACCTTGATAATTATCGAGCCTTCAAATTCTTTTTTTTTTTTGGTGAACTCAAACTCGCTATTTGGCTAATTGACCAAATTTGTATAAAAAAAACCCTTCACGACAATTTGGTAAAAAAAATCACTCGGCGACAATTTGGTAAAAAAAAGTTAACATAATGCGATAATTTGGGTAAAAATAAAAAAACTCAAGAGACATTTCGACCAAAAAATCGTTTTTTTTTTTTTGTTGGGCAAACTGTTCAAAAGTCCTACCGTAATTAAATTGTTTTTTGTTTTTTAAATTTTTTTTTTCATTTAAAATTTAAATTATTATGTCATCTCCTTTTTATTTTGCTAAATTTTTGAGGAATTATTTAAATTTATTTGCAACATTTTTTTCTAAAAAAATTGTTAATAATTGGTAGGAAAATTAAGTGAAAATTAGTACTCCCTCTGTTTCATAATGTTAGTCCCATATGGAATCAATCACATAAAATAAGCAAAGAAGAATATTTGGAATTTAACATTAAAGTACAAAATAATTCATAATTAGTTTACCTTATTTAAATTTTTTGATTTTTTTTTGGAAAAGTATAAGTCATAATTGCATAATTCAAGGTAGAGATTTCCCTACTTAGATTCATGTCATCAATCCACAAACAATTAATTCCAAAAAAATTAAGTTAAAAATAGAACATAATTCCTCCGTTCTTTTTTACTTGATCCGCTTTGACTTTTACACTATTCACCACCTCTCCTTTGACCGTTTTTTGTGAATAATATGTAAGGAAACATATATTCATGTGGGATCTTTTTGAATTCGTCTCAATAAGTACTATCATAATATATTATTTTATAATATTTACTTATGGAGAATTAAAGTTATTGATCATTAAAGTTTTGCATTGGCAAGCGTGATAAAAGAAATAGGTCAAGTAAAAAAAAACAGAGGAAGTATTCAATATGGGTAGTTCTTTTTGAAATGCCCAAAATAGTATATGGGACTAACATTATGAAACGGAGGGAGAATTAAATTTTTTTTTTCTTCAAATTTTTTTTCTTCTTATATATATATATATATATATATAGAATCATATGAGACCACATCCCTTATGTGAGAACCATATTCTATGTGAGAACTCATTATAACCGTTGGATCAATTACATCCAACGACCACAATTAAATATCAATTATAACTGGAGAATCATCAATTTCCAATCAAATATTCATCCTTTTTCATGCAATTCCACTTATTTCTCTCTCTTCTATACTCTGCATCATCACGAAGAATTCGATTTCATCGTGTTCATCAATCTAAATCAACTCGTTGCAGAATCCCCAATTTCAAGAAAATGAGCTCTCCAATGGAGATTTCAGTCCCTAAAGCTGAATCTACTGAACCTGAAGCCGAAACTAGTTGTGGTTGGCTGGACGTGGGTCTTTGTGGGTGGAATTATGTGTGGGTTTGGAGGAGGGTGGTGCCGTGGTGGGCAGTGGATACTGGTCGGAAGAACGAGGTGAGGAGGTTTTCAAAATTTCGAGTGGGTCTCCTACGGTGGCGATTGATTGTTTATGTTTTTGATGTTGTACGCAAAGAAGCTGAGAATCGTGACTGCTTACAAGGTATTCGACAAAATGCCTCACTGATTTTTTTTTTCCAGTTTTCTATCATTTTTGTTTTTTTGTGTTTTTGTTTTCTGGTGTGGGATCTGAATGTGAATATTTCAAAGCTCTAAATCTGAGTATAATTGCAAGAAATTGATTGAGGCTATAATTTTGTTGCTTAAGCTTGCTATGTAGATGATCTGAACTTCTGAAGTGTGTATATAGTTCAAATTAGGGGTTGTTGAGAGTAGTTGTATTCTTTTGTGATTTGAAAACAATTAAGATCTAGGATTTTGTTTAATTGCAAGATATTTTATCAATTTTTCTGGCAGTTATAATTTGAGTAAAGAAAATAATTGATCTGGGATTTGAAAATAATTGATTTCTCATTTCACAAATGAGCAAAGAAATACTTGTTGATTTAATGAATGATTAAAGAAATGTTTGCTCATTTGACAAATAAGCAACTAAGTTTTTGCTCGTTCGTAAATTAGCAACTAAGTATTTGTTCATTTGAGAAATGAGCACCTAATTATTTGCTCATTTGACAAATGAGCAACTATTTGCTAAATGAGTAAAAAATTGATTGCTTATTTCCCAAATGATCAAAAAATTGATTGCTCATTTCCTAAATGATCAAATAAATGTTTGCTTATTTTACAAATGAGTAACTAATTATATTCTTATTTGACAAACGAGCAAACTAATGGTTGCTCATTTCACAAATGAGCAAAGAAATGCTTGTTGATTTAGTGAATGATTACAGAAATATTTGCTCATTTGACAAATGAGCAACTTATCATTTGCTCATTTGACAAATGAGCAACTAAGTTTTGGCTCATTTGTTAAATTAACAACTAACTATTTGCTCATTTGCTAAATGAGCAAAAAATCGATTGCTCATTTTTCAAATGATCAAAGAAATGTTTGTTTATTTTACAAATGAGTAACTAATTATTTGCTTATTTGACAAATGTTCAAACTAATGGTTGCTCATTTTACAAATGAGCAAATAAATGCTTGCTGATTTAATGAATAATTAAAAAAATGTTTGCTCATTTGCTGATTATTCTTTACTAAATTGTCAAAAATGAGCAAATAATTTGTCAAAATGAGCAAATGATTCTTGCTCATTTTGTTAAATTAATGCTCATTTGTGAATGTGTTTGAATGTTTTAAATACGTTAGCCTACTAGCTTAAGGGTAGAGCATTGTGCAAATACACAAAAGATGTGGGTTCGAATCCTATGTAGGTTCATTTATGTAATGTGGAGACACAAGTTTGTATGAGAGTTTCATTGTAACAAATTTTATATAGTTATAAATCATTTCAAACCATTTTTTTGCTCATATAATTTAGTATGAATTTGTTTTTTTTTTTTAATTAATTAATTTTGTTTATAGAGATAACCTATGTAGGAATTGAACCTACATCCTCTATGCATTTGCATAGTGCTCTACCATTTGAGCTAATAGGTTTATCATATGTTTTAAATCACTAATACAGCATATTGCATATAAACTTCAACTGTCACTGCAATACAATGAATACATTCTAATTAAGTTGCTATATCCAAACAAAGGATAGAAAGCGTATAATTACCTTTTTAATCGAACATTTCTGAAAAGCTTCTGTGCAGCAGCCCTGGTGAACATCTTGAAACCACACTGCAGGCATGCAAAACCTCCTTATGAACAGGTTCTTGTTCAACAGTATCCATCCTCTTAATAGTCCAACCATGCTGCTTCTCAAATTGTTCTCTTTCTGAATGGAGCACTTTCACAGCATATGCCACCCCACTTGTTAAAGGCCGTTCGAAAGCAATTCTTTCGGTGTATCTTGCAAAAGTTCTCTGTTCAATGTTCCCCTTAGTTAGCTACTAATTGTCTAATACTAGCAATGAAACCATAAGAGCATACTATCAGACTTCTTATTTTTTTTTTTTTTTTTTTTTTTTTCTATAAGTAGCATACTATCAGTTTAATCTGACAAAACAAAGACCATATCCAAACTAATACAGAAAAATAGCTCTGAGGCAGTGTGAGCCACTTTACAAGCACAATACCAAACTCTTTAGGCAGATATTATCCCAATCGCCGAAATACTTTAATTTTTTAGCTTCATACACTGAAAAATCGATTAACTTCAAGCTATTCAGTAATGAATCAATATGAAGAATTTGTACTCATTCTATGTATGTGTTCATCCAGGTTACCTAATAAGAAAAAAGCTTTCCCTTCCAAGTTCACCTAAAAATAGTATCTACTTTGTAATGACCTAATACTAGCAGTTTTAGATAAAATTTAACAAATTGGACACAATATCCACAGGACATTAGCTCTGCTGAGTGCTGACAACAGAAGTACAAGTTTCAGGAGTAAAATTTACATCTCAACCCCATTAAAAAAAAAAAATATCATTTTCAGGTATCATAATACACTGCAAAAATTCTCAATATTTTGCCCACACCCATAATTCCTAATTTCCTACTCTTAACATGATTATCCAGGAAGAAAACTAATTAGATACATAAATGAATCTACAAAATCATCAAATATTAGCTAAAAAAAATAGAATTCAAATAGATTTATACCTGATCAATAGCAGATGGATACTTGCCATGATGAAAAGTGGAAATTAATATGGACATAGCTTGAATATGATTCAAACTAACATTAAATTGATCTTGCAACATCCTAGCCCTTTTATCACACATACTAGTAAGGCTTTCTTTCCTTTTTTCAACAGCGTATGAACTCATAAACCAAAGCACCCCGAAACAAAATATGATCCAAAATACAACCCAAGCAACCAAAAGCTTCTTCCACCATGATTTCCTCAACTTCATTGACCCTATATAGTGGTAATAGTAATGGTGGATCATATGGCTATTCGACGCGATTTTCGGCCACCAATCACCCACCACTTTACCATCGCCACCACCACTGCCGCCGCCAAGCAAACTAGGCTTGCCGTCCATTACACCACCATTAATCAGCCAATTCATGGGGATCACAGAGATAAGCCAACAACATAGCAGTAAGAGTACATGTCCTAATTTTAATCCAAAACCAAGAACATGTAACAAACTCATCCATTGTTTAGTAAACTACTAGCAATCTCAACTCCCAAAGTAAGAGAGAGAAGGATGATTAAATTAATACTATTCAAAATTTGAAGAGAATAAATGCTCAGAAAAGAGGGAAAAAAATAAAATGAAAAATAAAATAAAAATAAAGGGTTGAAGAAGGAAGAAATTTAAGCTAGCCGCCCACTTTTTTTTTCCAGAAATAACTGGTAAAATAGCAGAAAATACAAGAAGATGTTAACTTATTCTTCATCAAATTTAAACCCAAAAGAAAAAATTAAAAATAAGGAATCCTAGAAACATAAGATTCCAAATTTCCTTTACCAAACAGACAGAATTTCAGAAAATAACATGCAACTCAATGCAATAGAATCGAAAATTATCTGAACAATCGAAAATTCTCAATTACTAAAATCGAAATATTATTTCTTAATTTTTGATGATAAGTTTAATCTGAGATCATTAGAATCACTATCAAGTTTTTCGTTGTATTCATGAAATTCAAAAATTTTCAATAATTGATGAAACCTTAAGAATTGATGCAATTCGAAATTTTCAGAGCAGTAAAATCGAAATTGAAAAGTTGAACAAACCTTGATAATTATCGAGCCTTCAAATTCTTTAATCGAAGTTATTCGTACTTGTGAAGAAGAAGATGAAATCAAAATTGTCAAGCCTTCAAATTGATTAATCAATCGCCATTGATAATTATGGAGCTTCGTTGTGCAGAGAGAATAAATGAGAAAGTTGAAGCAGTTAAGCGTGCAGTGGTTTTGTTAGGCAGATTTGTATTTTAATCTCAGAAGTTCATATAATCTAATGGCTGGTATTGGTTCTCACATAGAAGAAGGTTCTCACATAAAGGGTGGTTCTCACCGGATCCCGACCTATATATATATAACCACAAAAACGATAGCAATCACAAGTAATTTGTTGGAAATTTTGTATTTTTAGGCTTAATTGTCGCCTGAGATTAATATTTTTTTTTACCAAATTGTCGTTTGAGGTTAGGTTTTTTACCAATTTGTCGCTGGAGCAATTTTTCTTATTCCGTACCAACTTGTCACTAAGTGCTTGTTTAGTTCACTTTATTTTTGCTTATCTGAACTTATCTGATCTGGTTTGGTCTGATCTGATCTGATCTGATTGTCAGATTTGACCAAACTTTGACCTTAAGTGTACGATAATCTATAAGGAAAAAATATATCAAGTGGGGTCTTGTTAGATTCGTAATAACGTGTATTTGATTAATATGTAATTTTCATAATTTTTTTCATTATTAAATTAAAGATATTTAGCGATAAAAAACTGCACATAAAACGATTATCTGATCTGAACTTATTATTTCTGATCTGATATGATTTGAACTTATTTTTTCTAATCTCAACTTATTTTTCTGAAATAAGTAAATCCTTTAGTTGTTTTTTTTTTTGAAGAATAGTTGTTCCTTTAGTTGATGCAATTTTAGTTGTATAATTTTGTCCAAACTATATCATTTCGCATCGTTATGACAAAAGTTTTTTCTTTTCTTTTTTTTTTTTTTTTTTTTTTTTTTTTTTGTGTCACAATTCATTAATACGTAGTACAGAGTACTTTGTAATTTTGTATTACATTCATAGTTTACAATTAAAATAGCAGAATTATTTTAAACATATAACGCAAAAAGATTTCATGCAATGCTAAAAACCAACAAACTTTTTAAAACCTAGATTCACGTTGAAATTTTTTATTTAGCATTCTAAATAATTTTGTCCACTAATGACAATCCTTAAATGTAGCGGAAGCACAAACTAAAAACAACTAGGATTAATCTCCCCCCATCCAATTCTCTATCATTCAATTCATTGGCTTCTCCCTAACTTTGTTCTCCTCAGTTTCACCAAAATCAAAATTTCTCCAACAAAAATTAATACTATTAACATGGAGATAATTTAACTTACATAATTATTCTCTATTATCCAATAGTTTAATTTATTTATTTCATGTTATTACACACTCTCTAGCAACAACAACATAAAACAAGGGGGTGTAGCAAGATGATGCCGTCTTCTGACCCTTCGAAGAAGGCTATCCGAAGCCAAGGGAGCTCGGGGAGTGGCGGGTCCCAGAACACGAGGACCTCCTCCGGTGGCAATGGTCAGGCAGTTAAGTTTGCGAGGAGAACATCAAGTGGAAAGTATGTGACCCTTTCAAGGGAGGATCTTGACATGTCAGGGGAATTTTCAGGGGACTACATGAATTATACCGTGCATATTCCTCCTACACCCGATAATCAACCCATGGATAGCTCATCCGTGGCAGCTAAGGCCGAGGAACAATACGTGTCTAATTCCTTGTTTACGGGTGGCTTCAATAGTGTCACAAGGGCTCATCTTATGGATAAGGTGACTGATTCTGATTCATGTCCTCCTGATCATGTGGCTCGTGGAAAGGCAGGTTATTGTCAAATGCCCGTGTGTGATGGTGCGGGCATGAAAGATGATCGTGGAAATCGAGTCTACCCTTGTGAATGCAGGTATTCATCCCCTCATGCAGAGGACATCTAATGTATTCTACTATCTTCGTTTCATATTATTTGTAAGATACAAAGTACCAAAATATTCAAAAGTTGCTAATAATATGAAACGTGCTATTCTTACATTTATTTTACCAAAAAAAAAAAGGCTTGGAATGTATTGTTATTGGTTTGGAATGTTTATTTGGACCGTGTCATATTTCCATTTTCTAAATTATTTTTACATGTAGATTTACAATATGCAATGATTGCTTCATCGATGCTCAAAAAGGAAGTGGAGTATGTCCAGGATGCAAGGAACCCTATAGACTAGAAGACTACGATGATGAACACCCGGATTTCTCTGGTGGAGCCCTCCCATTGCCAGCTCCAAACAAGGGGAATGAAGACCGACGCATGATGAGCAGGAAGAAAGGTGGTGATTTCGACCATAACAAGTGGTTGTTCAATGAGACACAGGGGACTTATGGACATGGGACAGCTTATTGGCCACCCGAGGATGCTTATGATGGCGACGGTGATGGAATGAGTGGTGTGCTTGAAGCTGCTGATAAGCCTTTTAAGCCTCTTAGTAGGATTATTCCTATTCCTAGTGGCATCATTAGCCCTTACAGGTTACTTCTTTATTATAACAATCGTGACAATTTTCTTTGATTATTACGTAGTATTTACTAGTTGCAACTTTACAATAGCAATAATTTATCGGCATGAAACTAAACACCACATCATCCATGTCAACTTGCTTATCGTTAGAAGTAATAACAATTCAGAAAAGAAAATTGGCTCAAACATTTTTCGTAGTACCACATTATGTCCCTAGTTTCATTTGGTAACAAGTTTATCTATTAATTTGGTTGATAATCCACTTGAATTTTGTAAAACCATTTAATGTAGTCTTTAATCCATCTTTTTATTTTACTTTCGCAGGTTATTAATTGTGATACGTTTGGTCTTTTTAGGCCTATTCTTAGCATGGCGTGTAAAAAATCCAAATGAGGAAGCAGTATGGCTTTGGCTAATGTCCGTTATTTGTGAAATATGGTTTGCCTTTTCTTGGCTTCTTGACATTATTCCTAAAATATGTCCTATAAACCGGTCCACGGACCTCCACGCCCTAAGGGAAAAATTCGAGTTACCTTCCCCATCGAACCCAACCGGGCGGTCTGACTTACCTGGTGTTGATCTTTTTGTCTCAACCGCAGACCCTGAAAAAGAACCGCCCCTTGTGACGGCTAACACCATCCTTTCGATCTTATCGGTTGATTATCCAGTCGAGAAGGTGGCATGTTACGTGTCTGATGATGGTGGCGCGCTCCTAACGTTTGAAGCAATGGCTGAGGCAGCTAGCTTTGCTGAGTTGTGGGTGCCATTTTGTAGAAAACATGACATTGAGCCTAGGAATCCGGAGACTTATTTTAGTTTGAAGGGTGACCCTACTAAAAATAAGCTACAACCTGATTTTGTTAAAGATAGGAGGAAGATTAAGAGGGAATATGACGAGTTTAAGGTTCGAATTAATGGGTTGCCTGACTCTATTAGGAGGCGGTCTGATGCTTTTAATGCTAGGGAGGAAATGAAGATGATGAAACAAATGAGGGATAGTGGTGGAGATCGGTCCGAACCAATTCGAGCCCAAAAGGCTACTTGGATGGCTGATGGAACTCATTGGCCTGGTACTTGGGTTGTCCCTGCTGGTGAACATGCTAAAGGTGACCATGCAGGAATCCTTCAGGTATGCCTTTTAACTTTAATTTGAAGAAGACCCGTCATTATGATAAACCAAAAATCGTTTATCTAGTGGTATTTCTGTAAATAAATCAACAAAAAAATCTCAGTTAGCATGACATTTTAAAAAATAAATCAATATTTGTGAGGCTACATTTAACAAAAAGTTGTTATTTTATTTATGAAAATGCCATTTAGGAAATTATAAAAGTTAGCAAGGTTACATAACATTAAGATAACACAAACGAAATGCACGCAGGTAATGTTGAAGCCACCACCACCAGACCCGATATTGGGAACACCAGATGACAAACTTCTAGACTTTTCTGAAACTGACATACGCCTCCCTATGTTCGTGTACGTGTCACGTGAAAAGAGGCCAGGGTATGATCACAACAAGAAGGCTGGAGCTATGAACGCGTTGGTGCGGTCATCTGCCATCCTCTCTAATGGCCCATTTATCCTTAACCTTGATTGTGATCACTACATTTACAACTGTAAGGCCATTCGTGAAGGTATGTGCTTCATGCTTGATCGAGGGGGTGAAGACATTTGTTACATACAGTTTCCTCAGAGGTTTGAAGGCATTGATCCTTCTGATCGATATGCTAATCGAAACAACGTGTTTTTCGATGGGAACATGCGTGCTCTAGACGGTCTTCAGGTTTAGATGCTTGTATTTCTAATTAAGTACTTCATACCTTTTTAACATAGTAATTGCTTTGCAAGTCTAGTCCAATTTTTTCCCCTGAACTTAGCATGTTTCAGGAAATGATGCTTCAAATTTAACCTTTAATTGTGTTTCTTGATGCAGGGTCCAGTTTATGTGGGCACTGGTACTATGTTCAGGCGATTCGCGTTGTATGGTTTTGACCCACCAAATCCAGACCGGATAGCAAACAGCAACAAAGATTCGGAGACCCAAGCACTAACTTCTTCGGAGCTAGACCCGGAATTGGACGTGAATTTGCTGCCTAAGAGGTTTGGAAACTCAACAATGCTATCAGAATCGATACCCATTGCGGAGTATCAAGGGCGTCCCTTAGCTGATCATCCTGCAGTTAAGTATGGAAGGCCTCCGGGTGCTCTTAGAGTACCTCGCGAGCCCCTTGATTCTAGCATTGTTGCTGAAGCTGTATCTGTTATCTCTTGCTGGTAAGGCCGTCTTACATTAATTTATATACTCCAATACCTGAAGTTACATCCAAAAAAAGTCAAAACTGGTATAAAAACAAAGTCATTATTTTCTTTTGTAAAAATATGCACACACAGGTATGAAGACAAAACAGAATGGGGAGGCAGAGTAGGATGGATTTACGGCTCAGTAACAGAAGACGTGGTAACCGGCTATCGGATGCACAACCGTGGGTGGCGCTCAGTCTACTGCATTACAAAACGAGACTCCTTCCGAGGGTCTGCTCCAATTAATCTGACAGATCGGCTACACCAGGTGCTGCGGTGGGCTACAGGGTCAGTAGAAATCTTTTTCTCAAGAAACAACGCCTTCTTAGGAACTCGCCGCCTAAAGCTGCTACAGAGGTTGGCCTACATTAATGTTGGGATATACCCTTTCACCTCTCTTTTCCTCATTATGTACTGCTTCCTCCCGGCGCTGTCACTTTTCTCCGGGCAGTTCATCGTGCAGACGCTTAGCATTACATTCTTGATATACTTGCTGATCATGACGCTGTGTTTGATATTTTTGGCCATTTTGGAGGTGAAATGGTCAGGGATCGAGTTAGAGGAGTGGTGGAGAAATGAACAATTTTGGCTCATTTCCGGGACTAGTTCTCATCTTGCTGCTGTTATTCAAGGCCTTCTCAAAGTTATTGCAGGTACAAATTTCATATCAATCAATAAATGTCCTGCTCATAATTCATTGTTTATTAGTCTTCGCATTTCATTTTAATTATACCAATGTCTCTTCGTTGTTGAATGTGGGACAACTCATATGTGCTAATGATGTCATGTAGGTATCGAGATCTCATTCACATTGACCTCAAAGTCAGCATCAGAAGATGAAGACGACGTGTTTGCAGAGCTTTACCTAGTGAAATGGAGTTCATTGATGCTCCCACCCATAGTAATAGCTATGGTAAACATAATAGCAGTATGCTATGCATTTGCTAGGACCATATACAGCTCAGTCCCATCATGGAGTAAGTTCTTGGGCGGCGCGTTCTTTAGTTTCTGGGTGTTGGCTCATCTGTACCCTTTTGCCAAAGGTTTGATGGGAAGAAGAAGGAAAACACCTACAATTGTGTTTGTTTGGTCAGGACTAATTGCCATCACAATCTCTTTACTTTATATTGCTATAAATCCACCCTCAGTTTCTTCTCAGGGTTCAGGTGGTACAGGCTTCACATTCCCTTGATACATAAATTTACATGGGATTTATTTTTCATTCACATAATTTGTGATTTTTTGATGAATTAGATGTAACATAGAACAATAGATTTAGGTGTTTTTTTATTTTTTTATTTTTTCTGTTTGGTGTACAAACTTAAAAGCTGTTGTAACAACCCTGTTAGATGATTGATGAGTTGCTACTCTATTATTGGTTTTATGTTTTCACCAAAGTTCCATTGAAATGGTTAACTCTGAGTTTGGTTAATAATTTTGGTCGTAGTAATAATGAGCAATGAAATTGCCCTTGTATAGTCGTTATATTTTTTTTTTTTTTTTATATAGAAAGAATGTAGCGTACACAATCATGTAAACACATTCTTCTGTGCTCATTTGGGGTTTCTCCTATCCTCCCATTTTTGTAAGCAAATATGGGACGAAAATAAAATTTTTATCATATAAGTGTACAACCGGTTATACAATACAAATTGCTCTTGTTGAGCACCAGAGAGGCAGAGATATTAGGTGCATGAAGTACACTTTCCCTTGTTGAGTGAGTGAGTGAGTGACAGTTTGGTACTTAGACATTTACACACAATAAGAACTAGGGGTGGGCAAAAAATCCGATCAGAAAAATTTGATATTCGATCTGGTTTTTTCAATTTTGGATATTTCGAAACGGATATCTGAAAATTTTCCCTCGGATTCGGATCACGAATCTAGAAAAATATTTATTGAAATATTTTGAGAGATCTAGTATAATGCTTATTTTTCTTTTTAAAGGGAACTATAGTATAGAACTAGGCTTTTTATTTATTTATTTATTTATTTTTATTTTTATTTTTTTTAAGGAAAAGTATAGAACTAGTATAACAAACAATAGTAGTGACATTCACAGATTCTTATATGTGGCTATGTGGCCAGCCATAATAATGGGGGGTTACTTTGTTAGTGTTATACAGGTTAACCGATCAATGTTTAGGGGTTACTTTGTTAGTGTTACAGGGATTACCTCCTTAATGTTATAGGAATTACTCGATCAGTGTTACAGGGGTTACTCGGTCAGTGTTACAGGGATTACTTTGTTCTTTTACAAGCGGTTATACGATGTGGTCAACCGCACACAAGACGCGCTGACTTACATTATTTAATTTATTTTTTTTGGGTGATGAGGAATTTGAATTGTTCATAATGCCGACCTTAATTAAATCATCATTAAGTTAATTAGTACCATAATTGTGCTAATCTGTCATAATCCCATATGTGATGCCGCTAATAAAGATTTCAAATCTTTGAATTAATGAAGTGATCATATTATATATGTGCAAAACTTAACTTGTTCTTATCTTTCTGCGTTTCAATATTCATATTTTTGTACAGGGGGCGTCACTCGAGGATTAGACTTAGCATCTAAGGGAGAAAGTCAAATGTTGAATCAATAATTATACTAAGCTTGAATTGAAATAATTTGAGATTAAATTTAAACTAGTTCTACTTAATAAACTAATCAAGAATTTGCGTGACTGGTTAGCAGGTCCTCCCCTATAAATACGGGCACCTAGAGCCCATACGATACACACCTCAAAGCTATACACTACTACCTCAAAATACAATTCAAGTTAAAAAAAAAAAAAGATTTGTGTAAGTACAATGGCTTCTCGTCGTAGCTCACTCAACTTCTTGGTTTTATGCCTCGTGTTTTTTCTCATTGCCAATATGGGTAAGTTCATCATTCGTTCAAAGACCTATATTTGTCTGTATTGTACTCCATTCGTTTCAGATTGAATAACTGACATTGAACCTTTTTTCACTATTCATATATTCATTTTGACTATAGTTTTTTTATTATCATAGTAACAACATATTTCATCATAAAATACAGCATTGTTAGATAGGTATTGATTTTTTTTTTTTTTTTGAGAAAAGATAGGTATTGATATAAAGTTTCATAATATTAATATTTACTTATGTAAAAATAAAGTCAAATTAATGCATCGGCATGTGGATAAAGTTTAACAGTTATTTGAGATATACGGAGTAATAAGTTCAGAAACATGAAAAAAGCTTGCAAAATTTGACCTTGATAAGTCAAAAGTTGCTTTTATATTAAACAGATCAAGAGAAAGTTATACATACTCTATATATATATATATAACACACACGTATAACACACACGTACACGTACATTTGTACACAATGAACCTATACCCGGTCTTATGAGTTTTGAGGTTGATGAGACCTCCACCGTGTTCTGATCCCTAGTTCGTTCAAGTAGGCTTACATGTACGTACTAAACATCATCTTGGCCACCAAGTATGTAGGAGCTAGTCATATATTATATGCATGTGTAATAGCAGAGGTAAAACTGGTGTCGTTTGATGTAATGCAGAAGTGGAAGTGGAAGGCGTCAAGTACTGCAAGGAGTACAGCGAAAACTGGAGTGGATGGTGTGGGAGCAAATCAAAGTGCGATAAAACTTGCAAAAATAAGGAAAACGCACACAGTGGAGCTTGCCACTGGGACTTTTGGGGGAAGGCTTGCTTTTGCTACTTTAAGTGCGGCTGACCATATTTCATGCATATTTTATTATTCCATCTCTATCGAATATTAAGGTTCAGGTTGTTATGTCATTATGTGTGCGCGTGTATGAACAATAAATAAGGATGTAATCATCTTCTCGTTACATTTGTTATGTCATTATGTTCCGTCGATCTATCTCAATTTCCATGTTGGTGGTTGATTATCATTTAATATTGCTGGTTTATGATCAGCTAATTAAGCTGCATTCATAATAGGTCGTGTGAAAGTACTTTCTGTAATATTGTACGGACTATGGAATATTATATATGTTCTTGATTAATTACCCTGGCCTTTGAGTACGTCCTTTCAATAATATTATGGAGTACTTGTTAAGATGTTACCCATAGCTCAAGTAGAAGTCTTCAATCTGGAATTTATGAGGTATAAGTAACTGTCAATTTATGACCCGACACAATTTTTTGACTCGAAAACCAATTCAACCCGTAAATTTGTGGGTCAAACCCAACCTGCCGACCCCCTTTTTTTTTTTTTTTTTAATTTGAAAATGAAAACCTAATTCTTTGATGAAGTTTGATCAATTTTCCACGTCTAACGACATTCATTTCTCTCTCGCATCAATCTATCTCATATAACAATTACTCAGATCCACACCAACCATCGCTCGACCCACACCAATTGCATCCGCATAACCCACATCACCGTCATGCCACCGACTATAAAGCCACCACTAACTGCTATTAGATGGTTTTTAGTTTGAAATTTGTATAACCAACGTCTTTTACACTATTTTATTTTATACAGTAAGTATATGTTAAATTGTATTGCATTAATAAACTTTACATAATACTTCGTATATATTATAGAAATAGTAACTGAAGATAATACAATGTTATAGTTTTTTAATAAAATATATAATGCTCTAATTTAGATAAGGGAGATAATAGTCAGCTCTATGAGAATATTATTTATATAATAAAACTAAATATATACTACCTCCGCTTTTTCAGTTGACACGTTTTAACTTTATCATCACTCATTCTCTTATGACCGTGTTTTGCGTTATACCAGATGAAAAATATAGTCATATGGAATCTTGTTACATTCGTCATGATATATATTTTCAAAATATCAACTTTTCATAATTTTTGTTTATCGGTAATTAAAAATATTAATGGTTGAAGTTGTGCATTGGCAAACATGTCTAAATAAACGTGTCAACTAAAAGAAAACGAGGGAACTATATAACATTATCATGTCAAATATATTATTTGAAGAGATAATTAAACGATATCAAAAATTATGTCAACTGTCAAGAGATATACGCAGTATATTATACGGAGTACTCCACATACATTATATAATAATGTTGGCTTCTTCATTTAATTTTGTAATTTTTAAAAGTCTTATTTTTAATTTTATTATCATTTTTTATTAGTCAGGAATTGATGTGATTTGGTAATGATTTAAATTATGTAATAGACATGTAATGCCTAAACATAATATAAATAAATTGAAAAATAAATAACAAAGAAAGCAAGAAAAATCAGATATTTCTAAAAATTAGCCAAAAATAATTTAAATACAAAAATTGTTCTTCACCCGTTGGGTTGACTTAAACCCGAAAATTTGGGTTAAGGTTGAACATTTGTTGACCTGTGACCCGACCAGAAATGACCTGTGACTTGACCCGAGCGACCCAATTGACAGGTTTTGTATAAGGTATTGTTTATGATTTTCGTCTTAATTCTCACGTCAGGTAAAGATATCGCTTAAGAGACCTGAGCTTTCAAGTTATTCTTGCAAGGACTAATCATCGTAGTTGATTTAGCGTCACGACAGACTTCAGTGACAAACCTCTAAAATGGATAGTAAACCCCTATCCTAGCACATTGACAACAGCATTAGTATACAAAATACTACTCTATCTTGGACTAGGAGGGCTTGGGAATTGATCATCACCCACAATATGAATATTAGAATTCAGAAAATCAAACCTTACAAATTAAGCAAGGGATGATTGAAAATTTTCTTACAAAAACAAGCCATACTCATATCAATGTTATCAGAGGGGGTGGTGGCACATATACAGTTGTCTAGCATGGAGGTCTCATTGCTTAGAGGATTCTCCTGAGGTCGATCAAGTATCCCAGTCCAACTTCGGCTGTGGTGCAGTGTGCCCTGCCTTATATTCATCACCATTTGCAGCAGAGCTTAATATGAAGAGTACTATTTCAATTCATTCCTCTTTCATATAAAAAATATACTTCGTATTAGATGTACAGCATATTCTACAACCTTTGTGCTTGGTCATGGGATTAAAAAAAAAAGTACCCCCCAGTTCCCACAAAGATAAAGGGTTTAAACATCTACCGGATTATGTATAAGAAGTTCTAGGAATCAGATTTCAATTACAAAGGAGCGACTGGCTACTGTACAATGACCATTTCGTTGCTGAAATATCACAGCAAACAATCATAGTTGATAAAATCAATATGAAGGTTACAATCTGTGCAGGCAGGGCATCTACAAAATTGTAGCAAAAGAATCTTCACTAATTATCAACAATTACCATTACGTATTCTTCTTTTAGACTTCCACTCAGAAATTGCATACGAAAGAGTGTGGTTTGGAATGAGGTTTTTGTTTGACAGTGGAAAATCTGTTGTTGGAGAAGTGTCATTGTCTTTAAGCCACATCTCTATTGCTCTGCGGTCATATGTGTATCCATCGGAGGCTACACACGGGTCATCCATGATATTCTGTTACCAGAAAAGGTCAAACAACTTAATGCCAAAGTTCTGGAACCTTAGTTCTAACTTCTAAAAGAAGCATTGGATTTCATCAACAATGATGCATAGCTTATAGCAAAGCAGTGAAACTCTTGTTTTTACAAATGCAAATTTGCCAAAACAGAATCAGCATACTAAATTTCTGAGACTCACTTAGGTTATAAGAAAGGAAGGAAGATCAAGAGGGGCATACCTTAAGTATAGGACAGATAAAATGGCTTGGTGGTGCAACTAGGATCTTAGCAACCAAATTGCGGGCCTTTTCTGCAATATCTTTCATTCTTTCAAGTGTAGGAAGAATATTTTTCAAATCTGGTCTATCTTTACGCCTCAGCTCAGCACATTGAATTCCTAGTAGAGCCATTTCAGCTGTCTCTCTCAGGGGCCATCTTCCAGCGTTTTTATCCAATATTTGCATTAAACGGCCTCCTTTTATGGCATCCTCAACCACATGGGTTATGCCAACAGCAGGTTTTGCTGTCAAAAGCTGCAGAATGACCATTCCCAAAGCATAAACATCTGCTTTCATAGAGATAAGTCCTGTCCTTTGATACTCAGGATCTATGTAACAAAGTGTACCTACAGGGCTTGTATCCTTATACAAGGTCAACGTAGAAAGGGAGGATGGATCCACATTAAGCATTGTACAGAGACCAGCATCACCAATCTTGCTTACCAAATTCTGATCGAGCAAGATGTTAGCTGGTTTTAGGTCACGGTGAATGATTGCTTTTGGCTTGTTGTTGTGAAGAAATGCAAGGGCAGTTGCGACCTCCCATGCTATTCTAAACCTCTCATACCATGGTATGGGAGGAGTGTCATTTTTTCGCAACAACCGATCTTCCAAACTTCCATTTTCCATGTATTCATATACTAGGCAACCCTGTTCTGGACATGCCCCAAGCAGCAGCAGCAGATGAGGATGACGGATTCTACTCAAGATCTCCAACTAAAATCGAAGAAATTTAAGTCAAAAACCAATTGAAGTATTTATGTTCCTTACTGAGAAGAGTAAAGAGGGAAATAAGGGTACCTCCTGGTGAAATTGCTTGCTGTCGGCGCCCTCCTTAGAGTGGAGTACTTTTATGGCCACTGTTGAGTAATGCAACTTGCATTTATACACAGATCCATATGACCCCTCTCCAATTTTAAGTTTTTCATCGAATGAGTTGGTAGCAGATACTATCTCTTCCCATGAGAATTTCTGGTAATGGTACACAGGGTCTCCAAGCACATTTTTAAGCTTTTCTCTTTCCTTGACATCCTGAGCAGCCTTATGCTCTGCTTCTCTCCTCTGCATAACCTCTCTATGAGCACGTTCCCTAGCATAATCAGCTTCCCTTTTTGCAGCTTCAAATTTTTCCTTTTCTACTTTTGCCAACTCTTTGGCTTTCTCCTCCTTTTCATTTATCTCCTTGAGCTTCATTGCTTCCTCTTTCCGTAGCTTGCTTAGATCACCTAGCTGGTAATAGATAGAACATCAGTAAATATATGTATTTTTTCAAAAGCTCATATTTGACAAGTATGGTACCAGAATTGCTAAAAAAAATGCTCAGAGTCTCAAAATCTCACCCTCCGTGTAGCATCTATTGCTTCAGTTTGAGCTATAGAATACATTCCTCGTATGTGACGCAATTCAATTTTCATCTTCTCAAGCTCTAAATTGACATTCCCCTATAAAGATGCAAAATAAATTACAGTTGCAGGACAAACAAGAACAGATATCCAATAAAATCTAGAAAAGAGTTTAATTCCCCCTACCCTCCTAGTACATGAGGTATTCATAATAATATGAAAGGCTGACCTGCGTTACAGATGAAGCTGGTAGGGATCTTGAGGCAGATGCTTGAACATAGCAAGAACTAGATATCCTGGTGGAAGCTTGTTCTGTGATCCAGGACTCACTATCAGCTTCAACAGTTTTGAAAGTAGATCTTTGACTTGTAAGTGTTCCAACACATGCAATCGAAGCATCATCTACATTCCTTGTATTAGCAGATTGAAAACTGGCAAGTTCTGCTGAAGATGTCCCTGAATTATTATATCCATTTTTCACACAGGAAAGAGAATCAGGGTGCTTGAGCGACCCAATAGGAGAGGAAGAAGGAGACTCTGAATAGGTCGATCCAGGGTCTGTTAGAATCGTTTATATAGGGATTAGGGAGTTATTTTAACCAAATAAGAGTAATACAAATGTAAATGTAATGTTTGTCTCAAAATTAAGCAACCTACTATAAGAAATCCTTAGAGATTCAACCCTTCCCAAATTAGAAAAGAGCTAGATCATTGCTTCTACTTTTTATTATTTTATTTATTTATTTTTTTTATTATTATTATTTTTTTTTTTATATAGTAAAGATCCTTTCCATCATTAAATTTGAGTTACAAGAAAAATCAGTGCTTGTTTAATTATCACTTAATCAAAAGTAACAAATTCGAGAAAAGGAAGGGGCTGGTTTGTGCGCAGTACATAGTAACAAAATCCAACAATTTTGGCTCTACTAAGGGAAGGGTCTACTTCAGATACCTCACAATTCTGATTAAAATTAACATCCATAGATTAAGATGGCATGCATTTCCTGCACCTAGAAAATAGAGAGGGAGGTTATTTTAAGTAAATTACCAAATGTGCTGTTTGTGTATCTTGATGAACTGTTGGTAGAATTAGTTGCAGTGCTTTCATGTTCTACAATGTTCCCATTCGTTTCCGTATTTGATGGACGCAGAGCCTCTAGTTTTCCTTTTGAAACAACATAGACTGTGCAGAATTTTGGAGCACAATCTGACACCACAGATGACAGTAATTGTCCTTTGACTCTCCTGCATATTATGAGAGGAAAGTTGATTGGTTCTATTTTATGTTCGAGAGTAACAATTGGTATGTCATCAAACAGAAGCACAGAAATAAATACAGCATTTTAACCAGAATTTACAGCAATGACAGGCCATACCTTGCAAACAAGCCATTAGAAGATGCCCCTATGACAAGTTCCTTGATTCCATGTCGAGTAATCTCCGTTGCTATTCCAATTGCAACATCTTCTGATTCAATCAAGACAAGTTCAGCTTGAACCTATATAAAGCAAGGGGAAAATTAGACATATGTTCATCTATCTTATAACTTCAGGATGAAATTCCATTGAAATTTTGTGCAAACCTTTTTAGAATTGAGCAACCTTTGGAAAGGCAGAATCATCTCCGTTCTTTGCCACTCTATTTCCTTTTTGTAAGCGACTGCTACATCATCTCGCACTTGTGGAAGAGGGATCAAATTCCCCACTAGTAGCAATTAACCAGTCAAGAAAAAGTCTATATGAGATCATCAACGTAAAAATGCATACATCTTTCATTTAATTTCGGCCAAATTTCTATCTCAATAACTAATTTCCAAAATGAAAGGAATATGATGTTCAACTTACTTGGTGTAGGTACACCAGTTATCTTAGGGAATACATGGAACAACTTGAATGCAACATTTCCTTCAGGAATAAATTTCTCCATTGCCCATCGTACTATATATTTGCTTTTAGCACCCCCATTCAAGGCTATCGCAATCACACGTGAACAAGACGATCCTTTTCCTTTATCCATATTTTCGTGCTCTATTTGAGCCTAATTTACCAAACAAAAACCCTGCAAGCAACCAAAAGATTTCAGTTGAATCCATACACCTAGAGTATTTGGGTTCACACTATATTCAAATACTGCATAAATATTACATAACATGGTAACTTTTAGCTTGATAGCTCAAATTGTAACATTTTCTCACACAGGCAATTCAACAAACATGTAATGTGCAAACTATATAGCGCGAAATCAAAGCTAACAAAAGCATGAAATGCGCCCAAAATCCAACCATGAATCAATCAATGGTCATTATAAATACAAGATTACTGATAACCAAATTACATTGACGATTTAGGAAACAGTGGAATCACCAAAAACCCTGTAAAATTCAGCTTTTAAATGCACAACATATAAATTCACTCAAAATTTGGTAAAATGCAAATGGGTATTATAAAATCAACAAAATTAAACAAAACCCATGATTAATACAACAAACCCAGATATCAAATTCCAACTTAAAACCCAGAAATTGAAGAAATTAAGAAAAATTTACAAACCTGACTATGATCAAAATTGGAGAAAAAGCCTCTCTCAACAATCAAAATTAAAAATAAAAAGTATAAGAAGATTGAAAAATAATTATATGATCAGACATTAGCAATATAAAAATAAAATAAAACTCTCACTCTCCTCTGTTTTGAGAAATGAGAGAATTCTTCAAAAAATCCCCCCAAAAAACGAAGATTCTGAAATGCTGAAGAATAAAACTATTAAGTAAGGAAGAATAATGATGACATAAATGACGTAATTGAGGAAAAAATCTAAGCACGTCGTTCATAAAAATGCCATGAATTTTTAAGCATTAATTTAATGGTTGAATGCTAATGTAAACAGGGGACAGTTGACTGTTTCATTTTTAAAGATATTATATTAGTTTTTGGCGGGAATATTTAACGGATAACGACTAGTCTAACGGAATTTTAATTTAGTGACTAACTGCCTAGTTTCCATGCCACAACTAGTTATAAACTAGATTTTATTTTTATTTATTACTTTGAAATGGATAAAGATTAATGGTATTAAAATGGTAACCTATATTCTATACTACTCCCTAGTCCCTATGTCCCTTATTGTTTGCACCATTTGACCCAAAAAACTCTCATTAAAAGTAGGTATATGATGCAAACAAAAAGGGAATGAGGGAGTATATACTAAATTAAAGTAATCACCAGAGTTATCCCTAATGTACACGTGTTGCATACACAACAAAAAATTTTCCGCCAAAAACTTTTTTATTTTTTTTTCTTAAAAAATAATATGATAAAAAAAGTTAATGAATAAAAATATCTAACTAGAGAGTTTTAAGGGTAGAGTGGTAGACATTCAATAAATTCAAATTTCGAAAAAAAAAATGTTATATAAATCATTTATTTAAACTAACTTCGTTTAATTGACATCTATTATTTACAAAGTCTTACTATTATTATGAATTCGTGCATTGCACGGGGCAAAAACTACTCCCTCTGTCCATATTTTTTTTTGCCCCATTTGATTTTTCATGGTCTCCAAGACGCGTTTTATAACGTATATAACTCCACTTTTATACGCGTAAAAATTATAAAAACTTAATATTAATAAAATATACAATGAGACAAATCCAACAAGACCCCTCTTGACTATATTATCTCTTATGGATTAATGGATTTTTATGGTCAAAGTTTTTAAAGTTTAACCTAATTATTTGCAATGAGGCAAAAAAATAATAGAAACAGAGGGAGTAGTAAATTAAAAGTCTAAGGACTTCTATAACATCACTATGCCTAAGCTTGTCGGAAGAGTTGCCTTACTATATAGATATCAATTCTAATTTATTTTTAGGGTTACAATTTAGTAGCTAGTCATCATTCTTAGATTATTAATTGACTTTTAAAATTGCACAATACATATCTTTTCAAAAAAAAAAAAAAAAATAAATAAATAAATAAATTGTACAATACATAGGTTCTTTATGTTTCATTTTTAGGATTAGTAAAGCAATAAAGAGTATGAAACAAGTGCAATACTAATAACGTTTAATCGATTATACATAATGGACACTGGGACATGCTTGGGCCACATATATACATGGAAAATCACAATCCATATACTGGGCGGTTAATACTTTATAAGGTCTGTTTTGCTATTAATAGCTTGGAATTATTCCTTGAGAAATCAAAGATATACTCGTGTATATATATTGATTTTTTTGATCACTTGATGCTACTTAAATATGAATTATATAGTATGTATGTAGCTATGAGCCTATGAATGAAATAAAAGCTAAATTAGATTCTTTGATTGTGATTAGTGTTACTGATTAGCAGATCAGATCACCTTAACGATGAGCAGTTTAGCACATTCGGTTTGCTTCACGCCATCATCTTTTTGTATAATACTATAATAACATTCGAGAGAGAGAGAGACTAGTGGATTAAATTGATTACATATATAAATAATTAATGTATGACCCTTGTGTTTAAAAATAAAAATGGTATGTTGCAACAATAATTTTTTATTTTTATAGGTTTGGGAACAATGTAAACTAGCTCTTACATGATATGATGTGGTCCTCAAATACTTTGACTGGTAATTAGCCTTCTAATAATTGTCTTTGCAAACTAGGTTACGTACGTGTTCAGATTTTGATTAAGCAAACACCATATGGATAGATATATCATATCGCAAAATATTATACTACTTAATAATATGATAAATTTGATCATGAAGTAGTTACATGATTTACATTCTCTATATTGAAATTTACTCCCTCCGTCCCAAAGAATTGTCAAGTATGAGTATTTATAATGTAATCCGTATGAGGGACAATTTTGACTCAAAATGAAATCAAATTCAGAACCATGCAGGCTAATTATACCGTTATTCATAACTTAACGCTACGTATATTATATGAGAAGTATGACCATTTCATTATTATTACAGAGTATTTTTACTCCAGAGGTCATCTGATCTGACTTTTCTTTTCCCTATTTTCCTCCATATTTTCAGCTATAATTTTATGACATTTCTTAGTTGAACTGTCAAAGATACCTCGTTACAGTTTAAAGGTTAGCACTCTTATATTACAGCATTATAACGAAAAACAAATTGGCACGTTCGTTTTTTGTTACATATTTATAGTCTTATAGTTTCGGATAATTTTAAAGCGGTTATTTGAAAAATGACTATCTTATATTACAACATTATAACGAAAAACAAATTGGCACGTTCGTTTTTTGTTACATACTTATAGTCTTATAGTTTCGGATAATTTTAAAGCGGTTATTTGAAAAATGACCATCATATTATTTTATTGATATACAATATGATCGGTTCATTTTTTCACGTTATAAAATGGCCACAATTAGTCTTACAATATCTACAATGTAAATATAAATTTTGAAAATTTTAATCCAACATAAATAAATATTTTTAAGAAACGATAAAATAAGAATAAAAATTATATAAGTGAAACTAAAAATTTGATAAATTCAAAAAATGTTGATAATACTATTTAATACCATTAATAAAGTTATATAATTAATTACTTAAAAAAACTTATCAATTATGAACTATATAATCATTAAAACATTATGATAGTCATATTTCATATGACTACTGTAAAATTTTCAGTATAGTAGTTTCACTAAAAAAAATGCCTAGATGTATAAAATCTTAGTGTTCAGTATTTTTTCACCCTACTTTGTTGTTAACAATTCCCTGGTAATTGACCTAAAATGCATATGAATATAATTAATTAGATAGATTTAATTTAATTAAAAGCATTGTACTCCATTTCGCAAATGCGAAGTATAATTCTTTGCTCATTACTTCGTTTGGCATCGTTGTGGTTTTCTGTTTTTTGGTTTTTTGTTTTTTAAAATTATATGATATATATCATATAATGAATTAAAAATTAGTCAAACTTATTAAAATAATGATAATTTTGAAAACTGACAACAGAAAAGTGAAAACACTTTATTTTGTTTCCCATTTTTGGTTTTTTGTTTTTTAAAAAAAAAAAAAAAAAAAAAAAAAAAAAACAAAAAAAAAAAGAAAACTGAAAACCAAAAGTGAAAAACGATGCCAAACAAGTCCTTAGTTGGCGGTTTAAGGTTATACATGCACAAATCATTAGAATTTGTTAGCTATTGTGTATTGGTTCTAAAAATGACCAGTGCGTGGTATAAATAACCGTTGTTGATATTAACAAAAACACATATGAAATGGATTTAAAAAAAAAAAAAAAAAATAGGAAGTAGTCAAATAATATAAAATTGAGAAAATTAATTGGTATCCTTTTGAAACTACAAACACTGAAAGTGACATTAGAAAAAACTACTTATATAACTACAAAGTTTATGTCAAATATGGATGAGTAGCATTTTCTCAAACTTAATTAGAATATGATTAATCAAAGACAACGATTTGTTTGACAAAATGACTATCATTAGTGCTAGCACGTTTAGTGACAACATAAGCTAAAGTATATATTAGCATAGAAAGTACGTTTAGTCACAATTTATGCCAACATGCAACCCAAATTAAATGTCATCAAAAAATAGTGGAATATGCTAATTTATCCTGTCTACTTCAGTTTTCTTTTTCTTTTTATATTTAGTTTGAAAGTTCTCTACTTGGAGCTTAATTAATATATATTCATGATTAAGAAATGTTTATTCAATAATTAAGCACCATTCAGCTGATAGATGCTTACAATATGAAAAGAAAAGTACAAGTTACAAACTCAATACTTTACTATTATGCTACTTGTAGAATCATCTGAGATTGTAGTAAGCTATAGTAATATACTGGTATAAAATTATCTAAGTGTGTTTAAGGGCACGGACAAATAATCGCCTACTAATTAAGTTACGTCATGTAAATTTAAACATTTAATACATTCATAATCATGTTTGTTTGTGATTAATAACCTTTGTGATACAAAGTATTGCTTGTATATTGCTAGATGCACAACTATAATATCTTCGTAACGTAGTATGAAGTATATATTTATTTTTTCTTAATTGTGATGGTCAAAGTTTAACACTGTGTCGAAAAACAAAAATACATGTCATAAGTTCAACAGAGAGAGTATGACTGTATGAGTTACAATAACAGACAATAAGACAATTGACATTAAATTTTATTAACTTAAGAGCTTATTGATGAGCATCCTGAAGCACTGTGCCCAATCAGAAACTTGGAATTACAGATTTATCTCAAAGTGAAAAATGAGATTTATTTTCAGGCAAAATTTCAGCACAAATTGGTACCTGTGCATCTTTTATCAACTAAAGTGTTTTAATTTCGGTATATACCAGAATTATGGTTACAATTTTACAGTGTAGAGTATTCAGTTACACTTCAGGGCCATTCGCAAATAAGCTGATAAGACCGCGGAAAACCTGAGCTGACAATTTATGAGCTCGTAGGATCTCGCCATCCAAATTCCAAACACCCTCTTTGCCATAAGATGTAAAAGCAAATGCAGGGGTCTGCAAGTAGTAAAAAAAATCCAAAAACAACTGATAAGGAAGACTTCCATTTGAGAATAAGAAGAAATCGGAAATTATGAAAGATTAAGAGCACAATACCTTGTAATGTTCTACAAACTTGAAATCAAGGGGAGATCCACCCTTTTTAGCTAGATGGGTTAGGTGCCTGCAAAGATCGAGCAACAACATCAAGACATAATTTTAATCATGTGGTAACTTTTCAATACTCAGTAGTCAACTTTGAACTTTCAATTCGGAAATTGCAGAAACATCATTCCCCCCAAGTGAGGCGATTAGTCAAGGAACAATCTCTGAGGCAGAGATTACAAAGAACCAGTTAAAATTTGCGTTTAAAACACCTAATAAGGGCATAAGCCTAATAGTTTACACAGTTAAACTACATAGTTCACATGCTCCCTCCTACCTAGAAGCACAATTATTACAATTTATGACCTCGTAGGATCTCGCCATCCAAATTGCAGCTCACGGAAAACAACTAAAACAAGTGTCTAGTAGTTGCTTAAGGGTGTTCAATAAAACTTAAGCTCTTAGGGATGCATCTGTGAATTTTAGGGGTGATTTTCTGCCTATGATACTGATACTACAATTTATACAGATTACATCAACACACATTAAAAGCTGATGGCCTGCTCAGATATATTTCTAGGATCTAATCACCTTAAGAACTCAGAATGATTAGACCCTTGTGCACTAAATGGTCATTGTTATATTACAAAACAAAATTTCAGTACCGGTGAGGGCTTGACCTAGTGGCCAAGATTGAGGGCTTGTGTACGAGGTCACGGGTTCAAATGCCTCCACCTCATTTGTAATTTTTATTGCCCATGTGGCTCATTTGGACGAAAAAAATAAAATAAAAAAAAATAACAAAAACAAAATTTCATGCCAGAAAAGAGACCCAAACTTACCACAGATATAGTGCATGCGAGCAATTTTTCACTAAGATGAGATGCAGGAGACCATCTGCAAGGTGCGCATCAGCCACTAAACCATCTGGAGCTCTTTCATTTCGACAAGACATGACAGCAGCGCCCACACTAAGGAAATTTCCTCTAGTTTTCAACCATTTTGATTTCATCATGCCCGTGTATGGTGTGTTGCAGACTTTGCAATTAGTTCTGCAAATTATTCGCTCACATTTTCTCTTAAGGCCCTGGCTTGACTCCACGCCCCCAATCAAATCATCATCTTTGGAATCTGGATCGGTATTCTTAGACTTGACATCCAAGTATGATAATTCAACCTCATATGAACTAAACAATAATCAATAAATCAACGAGAATGCAGGATAGTGTGAAAAGCTATATCAAGCTTGCAGTGGCATTGAACCCAGACTTTGTTTTGATCCTTACAAATCATGTTTTGTATACTTGTTTTTGTGGTTAAATCCAAGATATCATACTATATGACCACATTCATTAGAAAAGGCAGCAAGCCAAAATGCTCACAAGTTGTTCTAGCTCAGCTCTGTCAAAAGCTTGACTTGGCAATTATTTAAACTTGTATTCTAACTTCTATATTAAATGAGCCAAGCACAAACAAGTTGTTAAAATTAAAAGCTCATAGGCCTATTCAACTATACTTTGCCATTTCTTTTCCATTAAAAAATTATGAGTTACTCTATGGGGTGGCTAATTCATTTGACATATAAGAGGATAAAAAAAATTTACAAAAAAAAAAAATTAAAGAAAATAAAAAAACAAACAATAGAAATAAATTATTTCGTGGCACGGGAGGATCATCCTATGGATATTTTCCATATTGATTTTTCACAAATATTAAGGAGTCTAATTAATGAGTTAAAACTAACCAATAAAATCATAGTATAGTGAAAATAAATAGTTGATTGGGTAGATTTGCACATATTGACCAAATAAACAAACTAAAATAGACAGGTTGACAATATATTTGCAGCGCCAAAAATATTTAGGAGTACATTAAGATATACCAAAATATAGGGAAGAGACAACTACAACAAAAATATGATTATGCCAATGCTTCTAACACACAAGAGATGAAGAGAATTAAATTGAAATAAAACGAGTGAAGATTTATTGAAAATAAGGGAATTTTTGAAATCTAAAATAAAATGCTGAGGCAGGCTCACTACTTGGCTTTTATTGAGCTTGAAATTGGGACCACAGAATCAAGCCTGCTCATATATGATTTTTGTTTGGCTTGGCTCCGCTAATAGGAAGCCCTAATTTTCATACTCGTTGAGGCTAAACCAGTGTTTTAGACCACATTATATAAGTTACAATCAGTCCGCTGGGGGCATGCATGCTATACTGAAACAACTAAGATAGCTACCTGTGTCTGAGAAAAACTTTTGTCCCTGCAAAGTCATAACGTTTTGGACCCATCCAGCGATATTTCTCACTCTCTGTAATGACATCTCCATAGAATCCATAACTGCAAGACTTTTAGCGTTATGTCATTAAAAAATACTTTAATTGCATAAAAAAAATGTCAAATAGCATAAAGAAGAAATACCAAGAAGCTTCTCTTTTTTTTACAACATTTTTCTAGCTAATATTAGTTCAACAACAAGGATGAAGAATTGAAGTATACAATATACTTCACTCTCACAAAAGCATAAAAGAAAAAAAGGCCAAGGCTATGAGGTCAAGGCGCATCACAATGCACATCCACAGGTGATAACAAATGCTTTCGCAATAGACAACCGAAAATGATAATAATAGTAATAGATGACACAAGTTACGAAATGTGAAAAGTCTACATCAATGCAGGGTGGTTCAGTTATTCGGTATGAATTTTATTCTTTTAGTATAAATTCAGAACAGTCTCTTAGCTTAACAAGGTCTAACTAACCCTGTAATGGTTGTTTTGAAGCAACTTATTAAGCAGTATAATTTACAATAAATTAAGGAGTATGAAAAATGGCAAGAAATGTGTTTTCAGTGAGGTTCCAAAATCCTATGTTACTCGGACTCTTCATTTTACCTCAAGTACCCGTGTCGGACCCTCGACACTTGGACATGGGTATGACACTTGGAAACTTCATTTTAGTTAAAAATAATAGAAATTTTTCACAAAATAGCCGAGTCGGACACTTGGACACGTACCTGTGTCGGACATGAGTACCCGAGTCCGAGTAACATAGCCTAAATCCTTCAGTCACTTGTTCTTTAAACGTAAATGATTCAACAGATTTGGATTAGGTGCCATAATCTGGACGATAGGTTAAAAATAAGGTGATTGGACAGAACTACCTATTACTTCCCATGAAATTCCTAAAGTCTCCTTGATTGGCAACAGGTCAGCAGTCTCCCAAGTGTTTTCTCATCTGAACTCTCATAATTTACCATGAGTGACAACGACTTGGCAAGGTTCCCATGCACAACATACAAAGCATCAAAATTCGCATGATAGCCGGTTTTATATAAATAAACAAGATCTAGCTCCTTAGATCTTGAATCAGAGTAAGCCAAGAAGGTGCTCAAGGCTGGTCTGCATGCCGATCAGAGAAAAAATCTTCACAGGAGCAACATATGAGCAAACAAACAGCTGGAAAACTTTCTCTTTAGAACTAATACAGTTACATGCATGTGAAGCACTAATAATGCAGAGAAAATTGGTACAGTATAAGATTATAAGAAAGCACGTCTTAGACGGATGGAGAGTGTAAGATTGTACAAGAATGCAAAACTAAATTTTTCAGTCCTTCCAGACACAGTAAAGTGCCATCAACATATAAAGAAGATCTGAACGATATATACAGGTGAAGCCTCTACCTAGCCCTTCTGATTCTTCCACAATCCAATAAAACAAGAACAAATGCATACTACCTTGGACACAACATGCTGCAAATCTTATATAAAGGCCAGGAAAATAATCAGGGACTTCAAGAAATCTGAAAGCGTATCAGCAATTGTAAATTACCCGACAAAAGAGGCTGTGTAATGTACAGAGGGTTCAATGTCTGAGTTCATAGTTGTTTTCCACTTAACAACTTGAGCTATATCAAGACCAATTCTTTTCCCAAGGACAATGTGTAAAGCTGATGTTATGGGATCTCTCACTCCTGTTGTACTGCATACAAGAGTGAAGCACAAAGTTCCAATCATATCATAACTCTTAAGGAAAGAAGTGGACATAAATTCAGATATAAATGAACAATTAGAAGCTTGCAAAGGGCACCAAGTTACACATTATCCAAAAAAAATAGTAAGGGGAATATGTGAAGTTAGTATCAGTATCCATGGAGCATACATAAAGTTGTACACGTTTTCAAAACTCAGATAAATCAAGCACAACAAAAGATACGCAGAAATGACAGAATGGATAAGGCGATCTACAAAGCCTGTGATTTAAAGAGGACCAACAGTATGGACTGGCACCATCATGCATTCATGCGCCATAGACTGATAATTAATCAACTTACTGAGAGCAGAAATCAACATTTAGAGATCATATTGACTTGGCTTGGATGAAAATTGTGTTCAGAGCAAATCAAAGGAGATTAAGATAGAAAGGTACGCTTAAAAAGTTAAACTACACTGTCATAACCTTAACCACCACGGTCAAAATCAGAGAAAAGGTAAAGGAATAACAGGCTTGTTGGGTTACTCCCCTGGAAGCGGTCCGAGGTGTTCCCTACTACAAAGAATGACATCCCCCCCCCACCCACCCACCCACCCCCTTTCAATAAGGAGAAAGAAAGTGAAGGGGAAAAAAGATAGGAAAAAGGCAAAGAAAATAAACTAAGAGATTATTTTCTACAAAAAAAGAAAAATATTATGATAAGTAACAATTCCCCTAAGATTACCAAATCACAATAGCATCAGTCGAGCCTGCTGGAATGAGTCCAAATCTGAATCGTTCATGAGGAAAAGAAAATTCAACATCTTCATCAGCTGAAATGACAAGCAAGAAAGTAGTCAAAGAATTGACCTACATAAAGTTCTATAAAGAGCTAAAGCCCTAGAGCACATAACAGACTTAAGGTGAGGCACTAAAAGTAAACATGAAGTTAGCCTGGTGTAAACCAACCTGTGCTGCATACACCATCTTCAATTCCTGCAATTTTTAGACACATCCATTCACAAAGAAGCACCTAAAATAAGTTGAACAAAGCCGAAATTGGGATACATCATTACAATGATATGACTATTTATGGTACATACTGGAACTTGGAAATTGAGATTCATAATGTCTTGAAGTTGGAAGCAGAGGGGACTGGTCTTCATTGGGGTTAAAAGTACCTGCATTGATTTCACTTGGATAAGGGACTGAGGCACTTGATTCTTCCCCTGGAGAAGCCATAAAATCTGGAGGAACGGGGGGATATTTGGTCTTGAACCTGGAACTGAGAAGCCCATTTAGGATTTCATTGAATAAGCCATCACCACCCTGCAACCAATAAAAACAGAATTATATAGTCAATTGAGGATAAAGATAGGATTGCCCCATGAGCACACAAATCAATGGTACATGCATTGAAACCGCATCAACCAAAATAAACTGAAGTTAATACTAAATAATAACGAGAGAATGTTGCATCATAGATAAGAAAATTAATGTTTGGCAATTGGCATCATAACCCAACAGGGGGAAAAAAAAAGACAAAGAAAGTCCTCACAGATATGACATATGAGAAATTTGAAACTTAGCAATTAAAAAAGCCCTAAGGTAACAGTTTGGTTCCATTCAAATATTCAAGGGTGCCTGGAGATTAGTTAACAAGACTTAAAAGAACGAATCACAAACTTACAACAGCCACAATACCATCAAATGAAATCAGTTCACGGTTTGTCATAGACGACACTAGATCGAAAGCATGTCCTGCCCTCTCTGTAACTGTAACCTAACAAATGGTAGACAAAAGAAGATATTAGCGGCAGACCAAATACTTAAGCTAAAAAAAGACTCAAATGAAGGCGTGCTGTTGTTCAACATCATCAAGATTCATGATACATCATTGTTCCTAATATGAGCATTCATCATAGAGCAAGCCTGCAAGTAGCTAAGACACCTCTGACAGATTAAATTTCTAAATAATAAGTGTCAAGAATGTCAACCAACTAAATTGATGATTGTAATCAGAATTTTATAAGGGGTACTGGAGTATGCATGAAAGCCATCTTCCATGAGAAAGACTGGGATCAATATACCTCACTGTCTATGTGACCAGACACAACACTTCACACCAAATTTGTTGCATCCAGTTTACCGAACAATAATACTAAACAAATTCAGCCACCTAGTTCTATCCTCCATTTCACCTCAAAAGGCATAAAAGAGCGCTTGAGGTAGAGACTAGCATAATACAACATATCCACAGAGAAGAAAGTGACAGAGGAAAGACAAGGTTCAGTTGGGAGGGAGAGAAAAGAGGAAGGGATTGGGAAGAAGAGCCAACATGAAAATGTGAATTAAAAAAAAAAAAAAAAAAAAAAAAAAGAATTTAGAATGTGTATAAAATGGCAAAGATGGTCATAGTGTCTTACATATGTTATATTGTTATAATGTTAAGATACAAAAAAAAGAGTGTCTTCATACATCAATATGGATAACACAATAACAATTATCTCAGAAGTTCCAATAGAATATATAGGTCAGTGACAGTAACTAAACAAATAGATCAAAAGACAAACCTGAGTTCTCACTTTAGCACGAGAAAATATTGGAGCCACAACTCCCCAAACATTTTGACTGTTCCCCTTGCCACTTTTAGGATTGACAAAGACCTGGGACATTAAAGAAGCATAATAAGTTTGCAGCTTTTTGTAGATGAGCTTCAGGAGAAAAAGATTTGAAGAAAACCATACCAACAGGCTCTTTGGTCTTCCAATTTGCTTTGCAAGATACGACTTTATTTTGTTCACTATCAATTTACATACAAGCTGATCGCTGTGACCAAAAGTGTACTCTGCCAAGTGCCAGAGAGATGCCTTGGCCTTTGATCTCTGCATAGCATGTACCACAAAAAGGTACATCTGCAATATAACATATAGACTGTAAACGAACTATCACGTTCAAAAAATAAAAACCTACAGTTGAAAGACAAGGACCTAACCTCTGAATCCTGATGCATAAAGCAGCATCTAGTTGATTGACAAATTGATCCCCAATCAGCCGACTCGGCAGCATATACATCAGAAAACTTTATTTCTGCAGCACTTTCAATGTGATATTTACGGCCAATACATGATGACTTATCCTGTGAAACAGTCCATCATCAACTTCCAAACATGAGTACACAATTACATTGAAATATAAACACAGACAGAAGTGCATCAAAAGATAATGGCAAATCCAAGTCATGTATCTGCTCAATTGCTAATCTCAACAGAATAATAGACTGCTACCCCAATGGAAAAACTATAGCCACCACTCAGAATAGCTGTAAACTTGGAATAAACAATAAAATAACCAAGTCAAGATCACAGCACTAGTTGGATTTAAAGAATCCATGGCATACATAGCCTTAAGGTATCATGAAGGAACCCTTTGGAAAGAATTAATTCACGTGGGATATACACTAAAACAATCATAACGCCAAAACTTTTCCCCACTAAAAAAGTAGGGGGGGGGGAGACAGCTTTTTACTGTACAAATGAGCTTTCACAAAGATGGCGGTAAAGCAAGAATCCCACAGAATCCAGTTCTAAATTCAAAATAGAAACTATTAAGTCAACAAATATCTTGAGTGAAATAGATAACTAGATCAATGTGTACATTGAACATGAACCACCACATATTTTTTTATTTTTTTTTTATAAGTAGCAGACAGACTGCCATGATAACTTTACAACCTTTCTAACATCGTAGAGGCAGAGGTAAAAATGCATACAATTGACCACTCCATTGTCCATATCCTGCTATATTAAGGAGTTTCATCTGAGGTATCATGGTAATGATATGTTATGGCATTAGACAAAACCATGGAGATTTCCAACATAGTGAGACTTTAGCTTTACCCCAAGTAATACATGTATTTTGGGAAGGGGAGGGGCAATTTGGACCCTTTTTTTTCTTTGCAAGGCACTGGAGTGAGATGTAAGGTATAACAAACCTTTGTCCTCAAATTAGATTAGTGAGGCGCGCATGTTTACTGTTGAATGGGCTATCGTTTTAAAATAGGTGCCTACTGAGCCAAAGAGCATAAACCTAGAATTGGTTGTTCTCAATCCTTATTTTGTTCAACCCTCACTCTAACCGCAAATTACTCATTGCACCATGTTCAAAACAAGATAGAAGCCTAAGGCAATGGCAAACAATAAGCTGGGAAATTCTAAATTTCTATTAACTCCTGTATTGTATACATCTTTGTAAATTGGAAAGTGCTCATTCTCCAATCTTCATAACTCTAACAGCCCATAATTTGTAATTACACAGGCTCAAGTAAAACTAAATTGGCAATAAAATTTGAAATTTTAAAGACACCCATAAAATCATAGAGTAAAAAATGAAGAACAATGAAACCTATATGATCATATCAACAATACCCATTATTCCAAAATTCTTAATGTCCATAATATTGACAAGAAGACAAATATTTTGCACCCAATTAATGGTTTTTTTTTTTTTTTTTTTTTGATAGAGAGAAAGGGGCTTACATCAATCTGAGAATCTGCAGGTTTCCAAGATAATCCAGTTGAATTAAGAGAGAAATTGACTTCGCCAACACGATCCAGGAATACTCTGGAGCTTAATTCGGATAATTCGCCATTAAAATGGTCATTCAAGGTCGAATTCTCTGCAATTAAAGTATTTTCATCCTCCATGATTTTGTAGGATAATTCCTCCTTCAGAAAATCATAGAAAAAGATTTTAATTTGAAGAAAATTTAGAAAAAAATCATGTAATTTAGCGTTTATGACCCCAGAGTCAAATGTTCATCGTTAAGAAATAAAAATTGATTGACATTTCTTGATGCGAAATGAGTAAATGACTATTCTTTATTTCTCTTTCCCATTTTTGGTAAATAAAGGCAGCTAAAGAAAGCAAATTGTTCTATTCAAAAAAAAAAAAAAAGCAAATTGTTTTACTAGTAAATTGGATTTTAAAAAATAAAAAAAACAATTGTATTCCTTCCATCTCATAATATAGTTTTTGTTTTCCGGAGATAGTTGTTTTTGTTTCTATTTTTGGATACTATGTAAAAACTATTATACCCTCACTTTTTTAACTTTATTCATTGTACATCCTAAATTACTCTTGAATTTTGCACATGTCATGTTCTTTTTTCCACTTTCTCTCTCTAACTTTTGTCCATAATTGTACTTTTTACTTTTATTAATGTACTTCATCTACTTTCTCTTCCTATTTCTTAAATACCTTAAAAAAAACACAAATAGGAACTATATTATGGGACGGAGGGAGTGTTTGGCAAGACAATTTAATTTTACTTCATAGTAGTATACAAATTGTATCGTTAAATATATAGATGGTCTTAAACAAATTAAACTAAATGAAACCAGTGCGATGCACAATTTATTTGTATTTTTTAAAACAAATATTTTTTGTATTTATGTAATAAAATTTGTTATTTTATTCGTTATACGAATAAAATTTTAAGATAACATTTTTACTTGAATGTATACGATCAAATAATTTGTTTTGATAATGTAGGATATTTAGATATACGATATCATATGGAGTGACCTTGTGTAGTTTTGTTTGTAAATAGATATCTATGTTATTATTGCCTTGAAATTATTTTTATTGAACTTAAAGTAATTTACCAAACTAAAATTATTTTTGATTAAAACTTATTTTACTGATTATTTAATATTTTTTTAAATAAATTAAAAAACAATGCAATTTGTATGTGGCTAACCACACCATCTAGCTGGACAAAGTAACCCCTATAAAACCGATCGACTAACCCCTGTAATACTAACTGAGTAACCTCTAACACTGACTAAGTAACCCCTATCTATAACACTGATTGAGTAACCACTATAACAATGAGTGAGTAACCACTATAACACTGACGAAGTAACTATGATCTTGTAGTAGTTGGTGACACGGTTTAACTAATTGTGTATAAAAGTTTGTGATTAAATATATTATAAATGGATCTTATTTTAAAGAACTTTTTAAAATGAATTTGATGATGGAAATAGAATTGAGTTATAACATATTTATTAAAAGTTATGATTAATTTTGTATATATAAAATATTAGAATTTTATTGATAATAAAACTCTATACAACAATTTTATCCTTAAAAATCTATATAAAAATTGCTTACTTAGCATCATATGTGTCACAATAATCCTGTTTAATTTTCTCCTACGTGGCTCGACACTTAACGAAAAACTGGAATGTCAAGTGTCGCTGCCTCGTGGCCTGACTATGAGACCGACTTTATTTATTAGTGATATGATATAATATGATATTAGATTTGACAAAAATTTTAGAGATTAAGAGATCACGTAGGCGACAAATAGGTATTAGTGCGACACATTTGATGCTAAGTAAGCTAATTTTGGATATATTTTTTATTATAAAAATGTTGAATGAAGTTTTATTATCGATATACTTCTAATATTTCATATATACAAAATTAATCCTAACTTTTAATAAAAATCCTATAATTCGGTTCTATTTCCATCATAAAATTCGTTTTAAAAGTTCTTTTAAACAAGATCCATTTATAATATATTTAATTTATTTTAAAAAATAATAGAGAATTAGTAAAAATAAGTCTTAATCAGTAAAAATAATTTAAGTTTTTATCAACAATCCAGGGCATCGATATTTCCATTTATAAGATCCATTTATAATACATTTAATTTATTTAAAAAATAATAGAAAATCAATAAAAATAAGTTTTAATCCGTAAAAATAATTTAAGTTTGGTAAAAATATTTTAAGTTCTGTAAAAATAATCTAAGTTCAATAAAAATAAAAATAAAAAAATAAAAAATCAAGTCAATAATAACATAGATATCTATTTACAAACAAAATTACAAAAGGTACATTATTTTATAAATAAGCGATATGATATCGCATGTCTAAATATTCTGCATTATCAAAAGGGATTATACGATCGTATTTAACATTCAAGCCAAAAAGTTTATCTTAAAATTTTATCAACAATTCGGGCATCACCCGGACACAAAACTAGTATATATATAAAGTGGAGTTTTTTCCCGAGTATTTAGAGAGCCACATAGGATAAAAATTTCTTAACGCGTCATGTAAGATTATAAATTTTAGTCATAGCCAATTGCATGAGAGATTTGTGATTTCTTTTAGAATTATATAATTTAAATGCCACATAAGCAAAATTGGCGAATGAGATTTTAAAGTTTAATTTAATTAAATGTAAAATATTATCTTTTGAGATTATGAATTTTATCAAAATATATGACGAATGAGATGAAATTCATAATTTATTTTAAAATAAAAATATTAAATGATATAATACGTGCAACGAATAAAATAACAAATTTTATCACATATATACAAAAAATATACTACCTCTTTTTAGTTGACACCGTTTGACTTTTACACTATTCACACATTACACTTTGACTCGCTTTTGTGATTTATAGATACGATAAAATATAATCATGTGGGATCTTGTTTGAATCATCTTGATATATATTTTATTAATATCCACTTTTTATAATTTTACAATGTTGATAATTATATATATTAAGCATTAAAAACATGTGTTGGCAAACGTGATGATAAAAAGGTGTCAACTAAAAAAAACGGAGAAAGTATGTTTTAAAAAATACAAACAAACTGTGCATCGCACGGGCTTCATCTAGTATTATATTAAACAGCTGTTAGAGATTAAGAGATCACAAGAAAAAAATAAAAAAAAAGACATATTAAAAACGTAGTATAATAAATTATTAAAGATTAAGCTAGGTATCACAACAAATAAACAAAATGATAATATATATAAAATAAAAAATTTAAAAAAATCGTAAATCGTAGGGAGTTTTTATTTTTGAACAAAAGAACAAGCATGGAATTTTTTATTTTTGAACAACAGAAACGAGCTTTAATCAATCAAGATTCGCCAAAACTTGAAAGCTTTGGGGGAAAGAGTTAGTACAAATACGAGCCGAGTTAATATTGATTTCCAATCTTACAACTAAGTGGACAACCGTATTACCGGATCTTTTAACGTGAAAACATTTGAAGCTATAAAGAGAATTACAAATTCTGAAAAAATATCCTCAAAGAATAAGAAGATAGGAGCAGCTCCTTCCTGTTGCTAGTTATTTGATCACACGCACCACATTGATGGCATCAGCACCAAGTCCCTATACCCCAAGTTTCCTGCCACCACCAGTGACCAGCCCTTAGAGAGCAGCAGCAGCTTCAGCCATTGCGGGCTCCCAGCAGCAGCTCAGACGCTTCTTAGCAGTGCCTAGTAAAGCCCCATTCCCACCTTTGATCACGGCCCCTAGAGTCACCCCGCATCTCCAAAGGCAGCGACAAGATGGAATTATAGGTATTGATGTTTGTAAAGGTATGCTTATAAGTTTAACAACTTGTTCATGATACTCTGTGATTGGACTATCCCCAAAGGGCGCGAGAAGTGTAATGTGTTGATATGACCGAGTATTTTAGTAACAGCTTCTTTAAGCTCTTCTCTTGAATAATCCCCTCTATCAAAGCAAGACATGATAAGATCATCTTCATGTGCTTCGTTGCTAAAATCATCACCGTCATCATCACCTTCAATGCCTCCTTTGTCATAGTAGTAAAACCAAAGCCATGCATCTTTTATGGTGACACCACTAGACTTCAACTCCAACTCATTATACAAATAACAAAACTTGCATCGATATAATTTATCTTTATCTTCATCTTCATCTTTATCGACTTTATAAAGTTAGCCTCCCATTACTATTCGTGTCGTCGTCTTTGCTCACAATTGTTGTCAACCTAGGGTGCTGATAAAATGCCTTTCCGCTAGGATTGATTTTCATGGATGGAAAATGTGTTAGAACCGTATTAGCATGGAGCTCCAAGTGCCTCCATGTCACGTACCCTCTTCGAGTAGCCTCTCTATGCGTGAATGGCCATACAACCGTATCACTTAGATTATTATTATTATTATTATTATTAACAACAATCGTAGCATCAACAGAAATAAAATAATAACTTCTAATATGCGAGGTAACTTTGATTTGAGAATCCCACCTAAACCATGAATCAGCTAAGGGTACGGGTTGAGGCGGGATTTGAACCAACACAGACTCAAGAAGCGAAAACCTTGTAAAAAAATCACATGATTTCTTTTGACTCACCGACAATATACAACGATCAACTTGATGCTGGATTAATCCTGGAGGGAACGGAAACGTGACGATAGAGAATCATGACGCCCATGACGGCGAAACTTTGGTAGTTGATTAACGACCTTGGCATGGTAAAGTAGATGACCCTCATACTTGTAACAATATCATACATTTCCCGAGAGACAATCGAGCAGCGACAAGGCTTACAATGTCATCGACTTTGCTTAAGATTAATTCTATCAACTCCCGAGGAATACTATTCAAACTAATTCTTGGCTTATTAAGGCCAACCTGCAGTTCATCATCATCCTCTTCTCGATTCAATGATAATAATGGCTTCTTATTATAATTAAACCAACATCGTTTTACTTCCATGAACGCTGCTATTGCTACCGCACTCATACATACTGTCCTAATGATAATCATACTTCCCATCAATTATTTAATTTGAACAATTTCTGAATTCTGATATTTTATTTAGCATTATATATAAATATATATATACTCGTACAGCATTACAGTAAGATACCAATATATCATACGAGTATATTTGGAAGATAATATAGTAGTTTACTTAAGGTAGTAGTTTACAAGTTACAAGGATAGTTTCCTACTATTAATTTGTTTATTTATTTATTATAAGAGGATAGTTTCCTACTAAATTTTATCTTATCTAACCTCTAATTTTTATCCTTTCTCACTTTTAAAAAAAACAATCTTTTCTCACTTTTTTTTTTACAGGTAAGATACACGGGGAGCCCCCTCCTATCACAGGAAAGGGGGTGAGGTTCAAACCCCCGTCACACGGGAGGGAGATGGAGGTTAGTCCCTCCACCTCCTAGATCCTTGTCTTTTCTCACTTACTCTGTACTATGTACCTCCATTTTTTGTGTACTTATTTTTTTTCAAGGGAAATCTAGGAATT